GTGGCGGAACGAAATTAACCTCCGTTGTTGCAGCCATGGCGATTTCGTTTCTTATATTGCCTCAAACTTAAACCTGTATTAAAAATCTGAGCCTATATATATATATATATATATATATATATATATATATATATATATATATATATATATATATATATAGACATACACACACACACACACACACACGTGGTCTACGTGCTATATACAAGGAAACACCATTGTCTTTAACTTGCCATTGATGTGGAGGGCTGGATGCTCAATGAGAAATAGAAATATTGAATGAGAAATAGAAAAGTGAGAATGTGAAGAGTTGTGGTGTTGTTGAATCAGAGAATGACCTATTATTTATATTATCAGGATTTGTGAGATTGGTATGAGATATAATGGATGGATTTGACACAAAGTTACTTTTTCATCTACTTTATTGGGCCACTCAATTTTTTTCCCGGTGCAACTTTGTGGAACCACTAAAAGTAACATTTTATCAAATCTACTTTATGGAGCCACTAAATTTTTTTTCCCAATGCAAATTTATGGAAGAAATAATTTGATTAGACAAAAAGTAATCATTTTCATATTTCAAGAAAATCATTCCAACTCTTCCTAAGAAATCTACTCACATTACCCAAGAAATTTGCCAAATAAAAATGACCAATTTTTGGCCCACGGACAGCAGCCCATTACCATGGATCTGGCCCAACACTTTTGGCAGGAACACTGTAGAAAAGTGTCTCACACCATTGTATAGATAAAGATACCTTCACAAGTTCACATACATTACAAACATCAAACAACATCCGACAATTGTGATATATGTGAAAGCATTGGAGTAAAAAGTGTATGATAACCGGGAGTCTCAGTGTCATTAAAGAAGGACTAAACATGAAATAAATGACGAACTAACGACACTAACAGGCCGTTTGGATGGAGAGAAATTGAAAGAAAAGAAAATAGATAGAGAGAAAACACAATTTACTATGCATTTTCTCTTATTTGGTTGCAATAGAAAATTGAAGGATGAAAGAAAAAGAGTAAGGGGGGAAGATGAAAAATTTTCTTCCCTCCTAGGCGAGAAAACTCCACCCTTGGAGAGAAAATTGACTAAATTACACATTTGTCCTCTTAGCCATAATGCATCAGTGCTGCCTCCTCCATTTTTCATTTTATTGTATTTTCTTTCCTCTAATTGACTACTCATCCAAACAACAAATATTCTCTTTCACTGTTCTCTTCATTTTCTTTTCTCTTTATTTTCTTTCCTTTCATTTTCTCTCCTTTCATTTTCTCTTCTCATCCAAACAAAGGCTAAAGCTATGGGGTGTGCCCAATGTCTTCCCTTTTTCTTTCTTCTAATTTAGCGTCACGTCAGCTTTTACTTTTTTTTCCATTTCCCTTTCTCTTCCGGGAAAGTGCCTTCCCCTTTTCCCCTTCACTTTTTACTTTTATTTTATAACACTTATTTTAATTTATAAAATTAAACTAAAAATACAAAAACCATAAAAGTTTACTTCAAACATTTAAACTTATACATTTAAATTAAAATAAAAGTAATAATAAAATTGACACATTAAAGTAATTGAGACACAATAAAAATATTGGCATCCAATTCATATTTAGAATAAAAACCTTAAAATAATTCAATTTTTTAAAAATAACTTCAAAACCTAATAATCTATCAGATACAATTGATAGATCGAAACTCTACAAATGCTCTACGAAATCGGCTCGTAGGTGGAGGTGCGTATTCTGGTTGGGTAATGCAAACGATTTCAAGAAGAGGCATGCAAAAACATGCCCCGTAAAATAATAATCTTTTCTCATGATTCTTATCTTGTTGATGAATTTTCCAAAAAATAAGGGAACAAAAAACACTACTGTAGAACGGATGAAGCAATCATTAAGAACCACAATAATGTCTCTCTGGTCAACTGTCGCTTCTTTTGCCCAAGACCATTCTCCTTATTTAGGGGTCAAAAGTTCTTCTCGGTACTC